TTCATGTCCTGGTCACATTACCACATTCTCAGAACAGTAAGATAGGAGAAATCTACCCAATAAAGCACTGGACAGCGGTATAAGGCTGACAAATGTTCTAACACTTCCCCATTCTATCAAACCAAAACATTTCTTACACTCAGAATCGTGCTTTAAATGTCTTTTAGCATGATTTATCCAGCTGGAGCTCAGGGATTGTTAGGTTTCAGAGTAAGCCTGGAGCCACTTTAGACAGAAAGTAGCAAATGTAAAGCACTGCCAACCCTAACAGGCCCAATAAAGTATAGGGCATCTAATTGGGCTTTTAAAATGCCAACTGCATCTCTATTCTTGCATTGTAGTGTAAAAATGTTTTAAACTTGAACGTACTATTACTTAACATATTGTAGACATCAAGGATTTTTTGCCATTTGGGGATAGGATACAGCACAAGCTTTTGTGTAAACACATATTTAAAAGGCTAACTTGGCAAAGAAAACTATTTAAAGCAAACATGTAGGGAAACAAATTAACATAACCTTCCATGATCAATATCACACTAATGGAAATATGAACTTCCAATAAAGCCGACAAAAACGGGGTATTGATTTTCCATTGAAAAACAATTCTGAGTCTGAACTACTTTTATATTGCAGAACAAAATTACTAATAGATTCTCTACATTTCTCACAAGCTCGATAAGCAATTCTAATCTTATTAGAAGAATGTACTGTGGCAAGCAGTAACGGGGGGGGAAGATCTAATTCCTTAAGTGTTACAGGAAGCATGGCCTAGCTAATGTATGTTAATACTGTATGTACTTGATCAAAATTTTAAGGATCGCTAGAAGTGGCACATTTCAATTTATGAGAGAATGAAATCCTTGCGTCTATGGAAAGTGAGGAAAGGCTGAGCTTAAAGATACCTTTTAGGTGACGGCAGGCATTCCCTTTAAAAAGGACTTTTATTTATGACTGCAGACACAGTTATAAACATAAATTAATTCAACAATAGGGTTGATTTACTAAGTAGCAGCAACTGTTCACTTAGCATATTGAATATACACCGAGCTTAGTAAATGAGGTGACTCTATGAGGTCTGTTTAGACCCACTGATATTTCTCCAAAGCCCCTAATAGCAAAGTAAAAAAAACACATACCGGTACATAAAAAAAATGAAAAAATAAATCATTAATAAAAATGTTAAAATGGTTGGAAAAAATGTGGTTTTGGCCTACGCCAATTGGTTAAATATTATTAAAAAGGTGTTTCAATTTCAGTTATGTTTCAATTATTCCAGAGGATGCATGGCAATAATATACAGTAGAATATAAGCATTATACCTCACTTTCCATTTTCAATACAATGCTATCGCAATTTTTGTTCCACAAAGTGAAATGGTACTCTAGACAAAAAGCAAAATGCACAGCTGACAATGTGATTCACACTCCAGTGAGCAGGCAAATGACACAAGCAAACAATGAAATATTGTTGTCACTTGCCTAGCTGTGAGAGTGATGGCGTTTGAATCCCAACAATGGCTAAACAGAATATCAAATATTTTAGCAAGCAGTAGTTGTTTTTGATAATGCAGCCAAAGCTTACTTGAAAAAATCCCTTTTATGTAGTGAGTGGTGTCTTCTGTCTGCCCATCACTTTCAACAACTTCTGAATTCCCAGTGTATTTGCATCTTCTTCCCTGCTGATTCATTTGACGTAATCTCAATATTTTAAGACTAGATATCCCAACATACATTGCTTCCAGCAAGCAATGATAATATTAACATTGTTCGGATGTTGAATTGTAGTTCAGAAGACAGGCTCTGTGAGTTGTGACACAAGGAAGTACATATTCCCAGGGCTGAGTGAAATTGTGTCACTTCATTGAAGTACATGCTATGGGCAGGCCTCAAAATTTCCACTCGCCCCCTCGCAATTGGCGAGTGAAAATTGCGGGGGGCGAGTGTAATCTAATCGAGGAGCGCTGCCGGCGGGACCAGAGATGGGACACTACCGCCGCGGCAATTGCTCGCTTCTGTTCTCTCTTCTCAGCGGCTGCTGTAGCTACAGAGCGGCCGATGAGAAGAGAGAACACAAGGGAACGATCGCCGTGGTGGTAGTGTCCCATCTCTGGTCCCGCCGGCGGCGCTCCTCGATGACATCCGCTGTCTTCTGCAGCTTCCTCCGCCCACCTCAGCTGCCAGGCTGGGAGGAAGACTGCAACTGTGCGTCACACTGACCCTGCGCTTTGCGTCACACTGACCTCTGCACTGTGCGTCACTCTGACCTCTGCACTGTGCGTCACTGTGACCTCTGCACTGTGCGTCACTGTGACCTCTGCACTGTGCGTCACTCTGACCTCTGCACTGTGCGTCACTCTGACCTCTGCACTGTGTGTTACATTACTGAACTTTGCGCTGTGTGTTACATTACTGACCTCTGCGCTGTGCGTTACATTACTGACCTGGCGGAGTTAAGTCCGGGGCAGGGTAGGGGTTAGGTGGGGCAACTGGTGGCGAGTAACTTTTAAGGCCTGTCTAGTAGCTCAGGACTTGAAATTTTGAGCCCTGCTATGGGCATCATCAATAAGTACATTTACAAACTTCTACATCGATATGGTTATTGGGAGTGGGATAAAACCTATGGAAATTCAATATAGAAATACATATTTTTAGTTTTTGACCATAGATACCCTTAACCCTATAGCTGTTGGCTTTATACTGGAAGCGATTCTGGCAGCTGAAAAGCAGTCAGATTGCTTCCAGGGGCTGGTAAACAGAGCCCCCCCCCACCCCCAACCCCCCTTCCTTATATTCTAAAGCGCTGCGCAAACTGTTGGCGCTATATAAATCCTGTATAATAATAATCTGCTGATTTAAGCTGGAAGTGATGCTGATTTCGCCACTTCGGCTTCTGAGCCGTCATTCCCAGGCTAGAGAAGCCGGGAAAGAAGCTGTTCAAGCACAAATCTGTGCTTGATCAGCTTCTTTGAACTATAGGTGACATTAGGGGTTTACTAGATCCCTAATGTCACCTTAAATAGTACCTGTCACCTCCAATGTACTATCACATATGGGGGTGGAGCCAGTGAGGGTAAGAATTATAGGGCCAATATTAAGGGTTACCGCTAAACTGATGACCTATACAGGCTTTTAAATGGTCTCCTATGGACAATTTGGGGTACCGTAATTTGTCACCGCTTCGCAGGTGCACGCAATTTTTAAGCTTGGCATGTTAGGTATCTAGTTACACTGCACAACCTAATATTTTATATTAAATTACCGTAAGTGTATTTTTTACTGAAATGTTGGGGTTGAAGAGCTGCGCTAATACTATGCATCGTAAAAATTAGCAACTGCCACCATTTTAATCTACGGGCCTTGGCACACAGGGAATATATAATTGTGTGTGTGGGAAGGGGAGTGTTAAACAATTTTCAGGCCCAAAATGTGGATTATAATATGTGTTCAAAAAGTCATGTATTTTCTGCTTGCCTATAGTTCCATTATAAAGCTCAACTTTAGACAAAATCTTTCTTTGTTAGCTCTTGATAGACCTGAGAAAATACTTGCATCATGTTTTTTTAGCTGAGGGAAATGTCACTGTCTATAAAACGTGTGTTGTTACAGTCTGTTGCTAATCGAATGTACCAGTCCATTTACAGGTAAATATATAGGCATTTGAACATTATATTTAGCCGTCTGTCTTGAGTTCTACTTTAACACTGCAGCTTTTCAGAGAGCCCAACTACACAATAAAGTGGCAGAGAAGGATTTCACAGTTCTTCGCTTTTCACATCCTGTTAACTGAACATATCAACAGTTTATTAGCATTCCCTACAAAGAACCCATAATTCTCCATCTGTTTCATGAAATTGATTTTATACTACTGCCTTTCTGGACTATTGCTTAACAGTCATTAAATTACAGAAAACTGCTAGTTGCACAATATTGCAATGTCACACACAATCTGAAATGTGCATATTTCTTTCCTGGCCAGTCTAAACTGGCAATGTGAGCTAGGGAAAGATTAAGCAGCTGCAAGCTCAATGCCGTGTTTCCTAGTCATAGCTGTTGTGTTCTAAAACGTACACTGACAAAATGATTCATATTTCGGAAAACAATCTTTACTTTGCTAAGTAGGTGCAGCCAGAGAGCTAAAGAAAATATGACCCTTTCCCTTCCACTGATCCCTGTACTATTAGTGGCATGGCAAAAGCTCGATTATCTATATGCATCTTTCACTTCGTGCACAAGAATTGTCTTCAGGGATTTGGAGGATACACTCTAAGAGCTTGTTATGTTATGATTCTATATTTCTCGGCCCCACGAGTACTTGTAATGTACACAGATGTACATCAGCAAACAAAACAAATACCACTATCTACTGTAGCTGTCTTCTAGTAGGAAAACTATTCAAAGCCAAGACATTTAAAGAAAAAGTAAAGCAATTTTTGGCATATAAGTATTTATTTTGAAGGCTAAAAAGAATAATGTTGAAAAACCTGTTTAGTGAATTATGAAAAATAGAAGATTCCCTGTTGCTTACCCCATCCAATGTGAGCTCTCAATACAAAAAAAAAAGTTTGGTAAAAATACACTTTAACCTCCCTGGCGGTATGATTTTTTTCTATTTTTTCGTGTCATTTCTCGGTCTATTTTTTTTCGAATTTTGTTTTTTTAATATCCTGCCGGTTCCGGCCCACGGTGGCGCGTTTGCTCGCAAGGGACGGAACCCGGAAGACGGATGCCGGCATCGGCCGGAGAACACAGCGCGGCTTGAGGGACAAGGTTAAGTAAATGCTATGCGGCATTCCTGAGTGTAGCTCGGGGTTACCGCTTATGGTATGGAAAAGTAGCCCTGAGCTACACTCGGGAATACTGCCAGGGAGGTTAAGCTGATATAGCTACAGAAGTACATTGTCAAAGCCACAAAACTGATGACATAGGTAAACCCTCAACTTTTTAACCACTTCATTACCAGCATGTTAAACCCCCTTTATTACCAGTGCTGGGAAATTACCTTATCAGAGTCAACTTTTCCCTTTGTAAATTCCAGCTTCCAGAACTGGAGGGCCTGCTCCAGTGATAAGCCAATACCCTTGAGGAAAAGGCCATACTGCATGCGGCCACCGTGACGTAGATGATGGTGCTCTCTCAAAGACTTGTGAAGTTGACGCATGCAGAGAGGAAATGACTTTGTGGAGAGCTAAAATAAATAAATAAAATGGACAGATTATTAAAAAGATAACAAAAGAACATCTTTGACAGAGTCATCAGCGACCATCATCCTTCTGATAAGTGTAGTTGTCAAATTAAAATGAGGCATCATTGTCACAGTGTGTTATGCAGAGGTAGGATACATTCCACATTTTTAAGAAGAACTAGTGCAGTGGAATAGGTGGTGTTATGAATCTATCATGAAAATAGGGTGATTTGGCAAAACGTCTAACACACCTGTATAGTTCCTCTCTTTCTCAAATTCTCTTGTCCATATGGACCACACAACTGCAACAACGTCTCAGAATAAACCAAACTTGTAGCTGGCTTTAGTGAATGGCTGGACAAGTACAATTCAGATGTCATGCATGCATTTTTAAAGCAGCACGGTATTTGCACTGCTAACAAATACAGGAAAACTCAGTAAAGTAAGATGACAGATGTAATTTTCTAGCAACTGGCTACCCGACAGCAAAGCTTTGTTTCCTGTAATAGCTCTTTTCTACCTTTTATTCCTGCACCAGCAGAAAATTTACATGATATGCCATGGTATTTTATGAAGAAAGGTAATCTTCAAATCAAAGTATTTTTTGTTTTGTTTTGTTTACACAAGATGTACCATTATACAATTTTCAATGTTTCACGACACGTACCATGGATCTCTTTATTCCATGCTTCGTGAATAAAAACAACCAGTGACTTACTACATGAAACTTAGGGCTCCTTCACACCACAACACTGACACACAAAAAAAGTATGCGTGTTGTGGTGCATTTTTCCCCACGCTGAACTGCGTTTTTCAAAATTATTTTTTTCTGTACAGGCCACATCAACAACCAAAATACAAAAATCGATTTTTTGTATTTTCATATGCATGTAGCGTTGATATTGTTTTTGTGTGCATTGCACTGCATTAAAATGCAACATGCTTACATTTTTGCTGGTGAACGGGGCACGGCAGAAAGCAATTGTTTTCAGAGTGGCCTTGAGCTGATCAATGCAGTTTAATGCAACTGGTGTGAAAGAGCCTTTAAAATATACCTTATAATAGTCATACTGCAGGAGGCTGTCAGAGACTGGAGATATGTTACCCGAAAATGTCATTACAAACCATTTACAGACCCACACCTGTCATCCATGTAGCCACCTTAAAAAAACAATACAGCTATTCCTCACTTAACGACCTACTTATATATATATATATATATATATATATATATGTATATGTATATGTATATGAAAAAAAAATATATATATATATATATATATATATACACACACACACACACATATATATAGTAAGGGAATCAAACAATTCATGTTGGATATCCAAAAAACCAACAAACAAATCATGTAAAGACCAATATCAAACTGATATTTTTTTACCTAGGACAATAAAGCTTGTTTTGCATATTAAAATACAGGATAACATTACTGTGCACTTTAATGTACATCTGCTGAATATGTAAGAGGGTCCAGAAAATAAGTATGTAACTAAACTTACTGCATCAATTTGGTCAAGTGAAATTTTCCCAGTGTTTCTTTGTGAACTGAAATCTTGACCAATGTACGAATGGCTATCAAAAGAAAAAAAAACCATTTATAAAAACACTTGACTTTTAGCAGTTTGAGTGCAAGTTAGCACATACAAGGAACAAGGCTAACGTATAACTTTTTGAGTAAAAAAATCTTCCATCAGTTACATAAAATGAAATATTAGCGCACGTAAAATGAACCTTTCAGTAACTTTAGAAGTCCTTAGAAATAAATTCCTTATTTGTCACAATATACAGTACAAATATAAATTTTCAATAAAGCTCCAATTTAATTGACTGAAAAAAGCAGTCTTTGAGTTCTAGTCAAGTGACTTTGCCTAGTAAAAGAGGATGTGATCATTATGCTGCAGACAGGAAAAAGCATTTCCCCAGTTTTTTCTCCCTCAGTGATCAGACTGCAACACTAACTCTACAGTAGGGTACATCAGGGAGCTGATTTGTGAATACAACCAAGAATGGTGTAGGCACTAGGATACATATGATAATGTCATCCCTGAGCCAGCATCTTGGTGTAGATAGCAAATGCTGACCCAGTATGATACATAAAACAGAGACTGCTCCAACATTCTAGAAAGAAAACTGGATGATGGCAATGCCATTTGGAGTACTGTGATCTCTAACAGGTACTAAATGCCTTTAAGTACTACAACTACCTAATCATGCACTTTAAGTGGACCTTTACCCCCTTTCACTAAAGATCAACTAAGCGTTCAGCTCTACATGCTGATATGAAATCATCTTACATTCATTAAACATATTTTTATTTTCATTACAATTATTGTTTTTCCATTTCCTGGTACTCTTTGGCACAAATGATGTAATCGTGCCCAAGCATTGCATCCTGGGAAGGTTACATCAGCAGAGCATTGCTGGGAAATCTCATCTGTAATCTCATGAGATCTCAGGGAAAGGCATTGTCATCCCTTGAGATGATTGGGAATGGTCACATGTCCTAGTCACGTGTGCCAGAGTTCCAGGAAATAAGATCACATGATCAGTCCAAATGTTGCAATGAGAGAAAAGCTGTGGCAAAAAGCAGTCCTCCAACTGTATGAAACGAAAATTACATTTATGGGAGAGTTCTGTATACAGTATATAAAACAAGAAAAGAACACTATTCTCTTTTTCCAGTTCTAAAAAAGCTACAGTTTGAAATGGAAATCTTTTTTTTACAGTAAACCACCAACAAAAAAGGTATAATATGTGTGTGTGTGTGTGTGTGTTTGTGTGACACACACAGAGTATATTGGGATTTTAGCAGTCCAGCTTCTTTATAAAGCTGTCTATTCACACATATATTTATCCATGCTTAAAGCTCATCGATTTGTACGAGAAAGGATAGGATCGGCAACTTTCAGGATAAGGGTGTAGGTCGATATGCCAATACCTGATTTATGCCGTGTGGGCAGCCGAAAAGGTGCATTTAAAAAAAAAAAGTGTGCCTTTATTCTTATACACTGAATAAAATATTGAATCATACTTAATCTTTACCTGAATTTAAGAAAATAGCACAATACAACGTGCACTATATACAAAACCACATAAAAAAATACCTGAAGTTATAGGACAGCTAAAAGTCACAAACACAAATGCTGTATATACAAGACATTTTTTCCTGTAAAGATAGTTCCTGGCTCTACTGAATGTCCTAGGTGCTATGCTACAAAGACTTTAGCTTGAAGAATTCTACAAGTAGGGGATCCAAGTACTTTATTTTAATACATTGAGCACATTACTACCAGGGATGTGCTTGGGCTTGGCGCACACCGGGTTAACCCAAGCCTGCGCCAAACTGTCGGTGACACAGTCCAATCACCAGGGGCTGGGCATTACCTGTACCTTTGTTGTATGTGGCTGTGGGGTGAGGAATGCCCCAGCCGCAACTGATTGGGCTGGGAGGGGGGTGTCACTGACAGTGGTGCACGGTCTTGGGCAAACTCGGTTCACCCCAAGCCCATGCACATCACTAATTGCTACTGGGCCTAAATTGATTTGTTTCCAGTTTAGCTAGATTCCAGTAAAAGGTTTGCTGCGCAAGCTGTTGGCCCTATATAAATCCTGTATAATATTAAAAAGGTTAGGACAGGCTTAAACATAACACAGGGTAATGAAAGACATAAGTCGAAAGCATCGATTGGACACCTGTCTTTCAAAAATCTGAAAAGATTTACAAGTTGTGTGGTGCATCTTTGAATACTGTGTCTAAAAGTCTGCAAACAGCTGTGCTAGATGTATTTCAGAACTCATAGCAAGCACCCTCTGCTGCCTTAAAGTGATATTAAAGTAAAAGGATTTTAAGCTATTTCAAATCACTTACAATGAATGCGGCGTCTTAATGTTAAAAAAGTTTTAGCTTGCAGAATCAGCTGGTCCCCTGAGCACTGGTCCTGACTTGTTTTAGAGTGACTCCTTTCTCAAGCAGAGTGCTACGTAGTCACCCTTTTGTGTGTGCCAGTAAGCTGTGTGCGTCTCCACAAACACACAGACACAGCAAATCAAGATACTTCCCTCCCTCCTCCAAGCTAGTACATGAACAGTTGCTGGAGTCTGCTCTGCCTTTTGTGATCTTGTACTGGACAGGAAGTTCAGGGAAGTTGAGTTGAGAGACTTGGAAGCAGCTGTTCAGGAACATGATGATTTTAAGTATTTGGACAGTATTTCCAGAGCACTATGTGTTATCTAAGGAGGGAGAACAGCAGCATGCCTTAAGGCTCTGCTTTGTCTTAATGAAAATGTTGACTAAGCCAAAGAGGAATGTGTCAATTTCGGCTTGAGCTATTGGGGGCTGCAAACAGGATTTTTCAAAAGACTGTAAGCAAATAAATGAAAACGTGAGGAGTTAAAAAGCTCTAGGCATTGCAGCTGCCAGTACAAGCATGATGGCTTAGAACAGAAAGCCCTGTGGAAAAGTCTAATTGGAGACAGTTGGGTGTTCCCCATAAATGAGAATAGTCTGCACCTAGGCCGGTTCACTTCACAAACAGTGTGTTCCAAAGTGGCCAGGCTCTGGAACACACTATATAGCACTCCAGCCTGGCTCCCTGCATTCAGGGACGGGATGGGGCGTGGCGGTGCATTGAAGTCAATGGCACCGCAGCCACGCCCCCCACCTGCAGTGCGATATTTTTGCAGATCGCACTGGACCGGAACGCAGGCACTACTGTGCCACGCGTTCGGATGTGGGCGATCACACTGCTGGCGGGGATGTGGCTGCTGTGCCATTGACTTCAATGCACCGCCATGCTCCCTTCCAGCGCTGAACACAGGGAGCCGGCCGGAATGTGATACAATGCATTCCAGAGCCTGACCACTATGGAACGCCTTGTTTGTGGTGTGAACCGGCCCTCAGTCAGTACTCTTGGAATAGAAGTTACTACTAAGACAGTATATCTGCAGAACACAGGGAGTGTTCAGGCCTGTCTGGTCTAAACAGATAGGCACCCAAACAAGAATAAGGCAAGGGAGATATGGACTTATTCTGTGACTAAATAAGGCAGTGTAGAAAATCTTGTGTTGCTGATTAATCCCTTCGTGACAGGAGACGTACACTGTACGTCCCGGTACTTTGTGCCTATATGACTGGCCACGTACACTGTACGTGACAAGTTATATCAGGCTCTGTAATGCCGGTAACTGCTGATTCTCAGCGGTTACCAGTCATTAATAAATGCCTCAGTATTGAGGCATTCATTGATGAAATAGTTAAGCTTTTGTAAAAGCTTATTTCTTTAATTAATGAAAGAAAGAAATACCGGCCAAATACCGGAGCGCTATTTAGCGCTCCCGTACTTGCACGTAACATGCAAGTATGGGGAGCGCTAAATAGCGCTCCGGTATTTGACCGCTGAAAATAGCAGAGAGGCAGCAGAGTGACTCACCTCCCTGCTATTTGTTTTGACAGCTCCATAGACTAGCCCAATGTTTATGATGCTATGTGAAACATCTCAAGCAAAGAGATAAGACATACAATGTATCTCTTTGCTTGAAATGTATCATTTCTGATCGTCTAGGCACGATCAAAGAGCTTTAGCGAGATCTGAATCTGACATGCTGTCAGGATCAGTCTCTAAGGTTATTAGCTGTTCCTACGTTTGGAGCAGCCTAATAGCTAAAAAAAATTTAAAAAAGTTAATTTATCAAGCAGTCACAGTGACTGCTTGATATAAACTGACAAAAAAGTTTTTTTTTTTTACTTTTTTTTTTTACAAAGTATAAAAAAAATAAAGTGTAAAACAAAATTAGGAAAAAAAAATGGCAGTCTCCGGCCACCTAAATTAGGACCCGGAGACTGCCAGATGACCCCGCTCGGAGCGCCGCACACCGAGCAGCAGTGACGCGACGCTCGGCGAGGTAAGTAAGATGACGCGCTGGCGCTGACTCGAGTATAAGCCGAGGGGGGCACTTTTCACCCAAAAAAATGGGCTGAAAATCTCGGCTTATACTCGAGTATATACGGTACTTGATGATGAAAGCGTACAGCAGATAGAAAAGACACAAACCAAGGCAGCCCTGTAATTAATAGTTAAGAGGTTATTCTTCCTAAATGAAAGCCGTGTAGGCACCTTCATTTGATTAGGTTTTAGAGTTTACAATCTACTGGACAGCACAGCTCAGAGAGAAGGTAGAGGGAGCACAAGGATCCAATCAGGTGTGCTGCAGTGCAAGGAACATGCTCATAAGAGAAGAGAGTACAGTGACAAAAATATGAGTTCATGAGTAGGAAGGGGACCTATAAAAGAAAGCAAAACTGCAGAAACTATAAGTTCCCCTGCGCTGCTTAACAGTTTTGTGTAAATATCAGGTATTTAAAGGCATAAAATATAAACCCTTTAGCATGTTACATGGCCCCCCACATTTCACATCTGTATATTTATCCGCTTGCCAGAAGTTCAGCTTTAAAATAAGAATCATTTTCTTTCTTCCCAAAATATAATGCAGCAAACAACTATAGATATGGGGAATTGTGGGAATGGACATTGCTGGCTTGGTTTTGGGGGTGTCTATGCTACCTACCGAGTCACTGATTGGGAACAGGCTGCCAATGGAAACAAAAACTGCCCTGCATTCTTGTTGCAGGTTAGTGACCCAATAGTTAGAGAACTATGAGTTGAGTGATTTTCACTCAACCTCATAATCTGAGCCGACCTGTGACAATGAAACAGTCCCAGGTCGGCTCAGTAGATCGGGAAGTGAGCGAATACATACCGTTGCTCGCTCACTTCTCGATCTATCCCTGCAGAGCCGTGACTGTCACTCACCGCTCCCTGCAGGGATTCCCCCCTCTCCTGTCCGATCCTCCAGCGCTGACTGGCGGAACGGACGGGGGCGGGTACAGCTAGCTCTGCCTTTAGATAGGCAGAGCCAGCTGTCACTTACGCAGCTGGGTGGATCCAGACAGAATTGTCCGGATCCGTTCCGGCTGCGGCGTCTCAGTATACCGCGAGCTGTAGCTCACGGTATACTGAGCTTAGAGTGACGGGAGGACGCTAGTTTGTGTTCTCGAGTGGCCCTTAGGAGAACTATGGGGAAAAGCCCTGACAAGGTTAAAGCCATCACCTTTAAAACAAATCAGCTATGGCAGCTCCCTCATCTCTGCCCTAACAGGTTCATTTTAAAGGCACATCTTATTTTAGATTGTAAGCCCTCACGGACAGGGCCCTCCTTACCATCTTGTCTTGGATTGTATTGTGATCGTAATGTCTTCCCTAAATTGTAAAGCGCTGCACAAACTGTTGGCGCTATATAAATCCTGTATAATAATAATTTTGGCGGCACAAATGGGAATTGTGTATTTCTGGTCTTCCCTGTTATACACCAAATATAACAGATCACTACGTCACAAATATTTCTAAAATATACATTCAAACTTTATTTTATGTAAAAATATAAAAACACAAAAAAACAAGGTATTCAATATAGATCTAATTAAGTTAAGCCAGTATTTAAAAAAAAAAACAAGCAGCCAAGAGTGTCAAATTAATCACTCCATGCTGTGCTAACATTTTCCCACAGCTAATCTTGACAAACTCTAACCAGACAAGTCAGATAAAAAACAAGCAGATAAATGATTGAAAATGTGTCTCATTAAATTACTTGCACGCGTACAGATTTAAAGAAACAACGCTTTGTCTATGGGTATAGCTAATGGCACCAAATATCACGTCCAGTGATGGCTATTGAAATGTAAACAATCTAACCATCTCTGCCATGTTCTTTCCCCAACAATTATATACACACTGTTGTATTTTCAAGTGTTTTTGTTTTTTGCTGCTACCTGCATTACTAGGCTCATCGCTTCAGTAAAGTAAACCTGATCTGTCCAAACACATTTCTAGTGTAATCACAATCCTGAAGTGCAAGGCACCTTATTACTACCTGTGTTAGGGGCCGCTCACACTACAATACTGGGTGTCACAACACACCTTTTTTTTCATGTGACGTGTTGAGTTAGGCAGCCCATTGAAAAAAGGAATGGGCTGTAACCCACCTTAGTGCACAGAAAAAAATGCTGGCAGTATTATTTTGCAGTGCACTGCAGCGCATGTTGTGTTTTTCAGAAAAAGTGTGCTGTGGATGCCATTTAAAATTTAAGGACCGGTTCACACATAGGAGTTTTTGAGCAGCTAAAAAGGGCCCATTCATAGCACGTCTAGGTAATCTCCAGACCTGACCAGATTGTTTCCGGACCCAAAATGCATCCTAATGTATCCCTAAGCTATTTCCTACTACTGCTTGTCCTATTTTGTCTGGTCTGGAATGCACTGGAACGCATAAAAACGCATTGAAACCGCATACAAACGTACTGGAATGCACAAGACCATTTTAAGCACACAAAACAATTTCCAAAACGCGGCAAAAAGGCAATGCACTGTGTTCCAGATCTGGTCCAGAAAATGGTGTGAACCTGCCCTTAAATGCCCAACACAAGATACCCCATGATTTTCAATGGCCCAATGGCAGAAAAACGCCAAACACCTGAGAAGGTACATGAGCTTCTTTGGACAGTTACAAGTGCTTTTTTGCCCCATAGACTTTAATGGAAATGCCCAAAAATGCGTGGCAGAAGCATGTTGCACATTTTCGTGAGCGTTTTTTGCGCATTTAAACCCGCATTCTTCCATTGCCCTCAATGTTTAATAAGCTGCCAGTCAAAACGCACATCTTCATGTACGCGCATTAAAATGTGCACAACGAGCAAGTAACCGCATGCTGCTCCTGCGCGTACAAACTCTCAAAAACGGTGCCGCCTAGGTGTGAACCCGGCCTAAGGCATTGCAGCACACCAACACGTAAGGTGCGTTACCGCAACACATACTGTATGTGTGAACAGGCGCTTAAAGTTCAAATTGATCCAATAGTCTCTTGGATCCCAGGCTAAGGAAGTACACGTGGATTTGACTTCAGCCCAAAACAAAGCCCCACCACCACCTGGTGCTATGTTCCAATCCATTAAACAGAGAAATTGTAAGACAACAGGTTTTGCCCTGTGTGGCTGTAATAGGAGATGTACTCAGATCAGCACTCTAATGGAACTAGCTGAACTCAAAAGGTTAAAGCCGGTGGACTCAAAAATTTCTTCAACCTAAAAACATTGTATTCAATATCAAAGTAGACCTTTGCTTCAAATCTATAGACTACCTAACAGAGGTTCATTAGCACAGTTTAATGTGAGAAAGAAAATAAGTTACAAATGTGCCTTTAGAATTCCTGATTAGAAACAGCAGAGCACTTCTGTATATGTGACAGAGCCTTGGAAATCTCTGTACTTCTAGCCTTAAGGTGCCCATACACCTGCCGATTATCGTACGATAATCGTGGGAAATCCCACGATTGTAGATAATCAGCAGGTATATGGAAGGAGGGTGACCTTTTCTACTGTACGGTCGCACGTCTTTTGTCTCCCGAGCAGGCTTGAAAACCCGTCAAGAATCGTACGATTGTCGGCGGGTTAGTGGTGTTCCCGGGAGACAAATGCAGCAAGCGCACACTGCCCGTGCGGCATTGGAGTCATTGGAACCCCTCCCCTCGTGACGGGCTTGTGATGATCGCCAGTACGATCTGCCTGTCCAAGATGGGAAGATCGTACAAGCTTTTAATTACTTTACAACCATCGCAAGACGAAAGTGGATTACATTAAAACAATAGGAACGGGAAGAACGGTTACACAGAGACAATGTGCAATGGATGAAAAAGTGGACCTGAGCAAAATGCAGCTGCAGAATGCTTACTGTGCTATTTCATTCACAAAGAACTTGTCTCACAATGTTTGGAAGGTAAGGTTGCTTGCCTGAGTCTAGGTTAAAGCAAATCTGCCACAACTGAGGCAAGATCACAGCATTGTTGACATAACTGACATAACAACTTAAAGGTCACTTAATCCATGCTTCTGCAGTAGGTTGGCAGGAACTCTGCCTAGAGAAAGGGATCCTGTGAGGTCAGCTTGTGATGGCTGTTTTATGTGAATAGAGGACAAGGTGTGCTGATGAAGATCCTTCATTTCCTATGATTATATGATGGCGCCAATAATAATTGACTACAGCACCCTGCATGAACTGCGGGCAAGCCTGCAGGGTCTGTGACGGATATAATACATCTTTTCTATGAATTGATAAGGTTCACATGGAACGCACTGAAGTAATTTACTAAAGAACATCGGTCAAAGCTAGAAAAAGGAGAAGAGAAAACATTTCCAAAAAGCAACCCACATAACTGTACAGTTTACATGACCATCCTACTGGGTGCAAAGAGACGAAGAAAGGAGAGAAGCGCAGCATACTTCCAGTACCACCAGAACCTCAAGGACACTCATCCAGCACAAAGGACAAACATTACACACAACAGGATGCAGAACATACCTGAGGTGACTAAGTAAAGGCTGCAGTCTTTCATCCGATTGTACCACTGGAAGTGAGCGAGCTGACAACTGAAAGAAAAAGACCACCATGAACCACGACTTCAAAATATGTTCATCTGAAAAGCAATAATAATGTAGGAAATGCATCTTAACCAGGAAGCCATAAAATGATATGCTAATTTGTCTACACCTATGCGAAAGAGTACTATATTATATTAAACAAACTATTTGAAGCAGAACTCCAGGCTAAATGGTTCTTAACCCTTGCAGTGGGGCTACCCCTGCACTGCAAGGATTAAGCAATCATTTTTGTCTAGGTGTTCAAATAACAAAGATCTGATCCTCGGAGACGGCTTGCTCTTAAGGTGGCCATACACTTTACAAGTAATAAAAAAAAACGTACGTTCTGCCCATCTTGGACAGGCAGATCGTACTTGAGGGGCGGGCTTCCAATGACTGCAAACGGGCAGTGTGCGCACACCGGCCTGGTCGGCAGTTGTCGAACAAGCAGGCTACTAACTCGCAGAGAATCGTACGATTCCCGGCGGGTTTTCCAGCCTGCTTGTTCGACGGAAGACGTGCGACCGTACAGTAGAAACGGTTGCACGCCTTCCATACAGTTTTCAATTATCGTACGATCGCAGGATTTCCCGCGATTCTCGTGCGATAATCGTACAGTGCATGGGCACCTTTAGGCCGGTCTCTGGAACCTCTCTCTCCCTCCGCTACAGCAGTTCAAGGATCCTTGAATCATCCCATTCTTCACAGGGACAGGAGGACGCAGAGGGACATATCATCGCTGCAGTGAAGGAGAGGACAGGCCTTCAGGGAACTATGTAGCTGCCAGCCGGCTCCCCATTCCGTTCTTTTTTTTTAGCACCTAGACACAAACAAGCACTTAATCCTTGCAGTAAGGGGGTAGCCCCATTGCAAAGGGTCAAGTCAAATTCTGCCCAGAGTTATCCTTTAAATCTCAACTCCTTGCAAACAGATTTGTAATTCTGAGCTACAGCTGATATGAGGGGAGATTCAGGTATGGCATTGACTGGTTCCTGTATTCTTGATTTTAGTCATCACTGTAATAAAGGGTCGGACCATCCAAAACAGATATTTCAGTTTCTGACAAAGGATGACAGTTTATCTCTCTGGGGGACTCTATTTGTTAAATTGCTGTGCTGGAGTTCCAACACCTGCACGTCTACTGTGGCCATGATGTGGGATCCCACTGTCCCTACTGGATTTTGTATGGTCTATTGCTACCTAGGAACTATAAACACACAGGTGTGCAAGAAGACCCAAAACTCACATGTGAACAGGAACGGAGTTTGGAATCATCCCTGGTGTTATAAATAAGAGAAACCAGAAGCCAAGTGCCGACACACCTCACCAGTCTCTACCTTTAACCCAAATACTACCATTGTATTGATTGACCATTAAAATGGTTTTTGACCCTTTACAGTAAAGCAACTTGCTTCTATAGATATGGTATTTGGCAACCATATCTACTCTTATGATATGAAAACAACAACAATGATAAAAATAATAATTATAATAATAAAAAAAAAAAAAACAGCACATGCCTACCAACTGGTTGATTGAAACTGAAAAGCAATACATATCCACCATCATTCCTGCCTGTCTATCAGTATATTTAAGCAGACCTTGCATAGCAATGATACCCTAAAACGTAATAAATTGCCCATTGAGCTTTACACAAAATGATAAAAAGTGCAAATAACAATAAAGCACAGATGAAGAGTCTGCTCTCCCTACTCCATGTTTACTTCAAGTCTTCAATGTGAATGTGGATGACAAAAGGCAGCCACAAATTGCTGATCATATCAGCAGCCTCTCTACTTTCCAGCCAGGAGCTACATCTTGATACCCAACTGTCTGATGTCTCACAAAATTTCAACAGCAGTGAAAGCAACATGAAATAAGGAAGTAAACTCTGCTTTCTGGATAATGAAATGTTAGCTACAGGATAAACACTACATACAGGAAAAACAAATATGTGGGCAAAACAGCTGCACAAGCAAATGTGGACATAACACAAAAACTGGAGCAGACACAATCTGGAGCAATTGCTCATAGTACCCAAATCATCTTCTCTCTTCAGTTTGTTCAGTTAAAGGGTTATGAAACCCTCTGGTGTTTTTGCATATATCTACTGCTAGCAATAAGTAGATATATGCGAACACAAAAACCTTTTAAAAGAGGTTAAAACTTAACTGCGTCTTCGACGCGCGCTCCGGTCCGAACAACTGCAGAGTCTCGGGTGGCAGCAAAGGATCTTGGGGCGGGCGCATGGGCATTTCAGATCTTCAACCAGGGGGAAAAGAAGACACACAAGGTAAGTCTATGGAGCAGCGTTCACCCGCACAGACTCCGTGGCACAGGAAGTGCCAGCTAGCACAGAGGAGTCAGTGCTGGATCGGAGAACCGCACTAGTGCTGGAGGGACAGATGAAAAGGACAGTAAAGAAGAAGATGATCGAATCAAGAGGCATCATTTAAGGTAAGTCCTTACAGCAGGATTGGGAAGGGGCAAAAAAAAGTTTGACTTTCATGACTGACACTTTCTTTGAAAATGAAAGATAGAAACTGCTTGGTTGCCATGCACAACTGCTCCAGATTTTGTCTTCTCCAGTTTTGATTTTTCCCTTTAGTGCACAATAGTTCTACTACACCCAAACAGCAGAAACTGCCTAGACTTAAGTCAATTTGCTGTACAGATACACATGTAAATATACCACACAAGAACACAGTAATCACCTGGATAATAACTGGTACAGGAAAAAAGATGTAAACATGATAACAAGATGCTGACAAGAGAAATATTAGTATTTGTCTACACATGTATAACAAGTCCACATTTACTATACCAAACGAGTATTCTCCTGCGCACCAGGCATGATTACAAGGGGAAAGTCAAATTCATTAGAACTTTTCATGGTTGAGAGGCAGCCCAGATGATTTACGGAAAAACACTTTCCGAAATACCATGTACTGTCAAGGAAAATTAATTTTACTTATTAAGACTGCTATAAAGGAACCCATTTTGTCAAGTATCATTAGATTCACTACCCTTAACATATTTAGAACGATAAGTAAAAGTATAAACCCTTTATGCACAGATATTAACTAGTGAAGCCATGTTCATGGCATCCTTCTGACCAGAAATGTTACTAGGACAGAAATTCAGGTGACACCGGCAATAAAGACCTCATAGAGGTTCTCATCGTTCCCCACTATATACAAAGCTTAAGGAAGAAAGAAAAAAAACATCAGTTTATAAACTTGCTAACATACTCAAAAATGTTTAAAGTAAACTTTACCAAAAACCATTTCCCTTCAATGTATTTTGCACGGATAGCTGCCATTTCATTAAGCCTATCCTGACATGAACGCTTAACCTAAAACTCTGCAAATGTATTTTGTCATCTTTTCCAAGAAATCAATGAAGTAACATGTCAGGCACTTTGCACTGTTATTGTGCATATACCTCACCTTCTCATCTCAGAGGAACTTCGACTTTCCAAGTGCGAATGATTGAATGCTAAAGGCAGTGTCCTTGACAATCCAACACTATAGGATTTATCTATCTTGGTAAAATGTGTGCAGGTTCTGCAAGAAGTGATGCTACTCTGACAGTTAAGAAAAAAAAAAAGAAAGACATTCAAAGCTATCTTGATTTAGTTTCCACAAAGAAGCATGCCGATCCAGCAATAATGTAGCAATAAATGTACTTACCGCTTACAATGATAAAGGGGGTGGGGCAGCTTTATGTGAAGGTTTAACTTCAGCTACCTTTGGTGGCAGTCATTGTAATGTTATTATGATTATTAAAAAAACACAAGACATGAAATGAGCTCTTTGTTATGAAATTATATGTAAAAAAAAAAAGAAGTTTTAATCTCAGCACTCCGGCATCAACCAAATCTTCTAAACCAGACACTTCGGGAGAGGTTGCGGTCCACAAGGCTATTGGGAAAGATCCTTATAGAATATGCAAAACAGAAAAAGACAGCACCTTCTCCTCGCGCATTATCATTTATTAAAATACCAAAGTACACAGAACTGCTCACATGTAGAATGTGAAAAGCAAGCAGTATATGTACATAACAACCAGGAACAGGGCTGCACAGCTAATTCGTTTCAGTGAAATTACCTCCATCATCTTTTTCTTCAAGTGTCAAAACTGTCAAACAAAAAAAAAAGAGAGGAACTTAAAGCACACTTGAAATTCCTTCCAATAGGTTGAGAGCGAGTTAAAAGTCCCACCCTTGAGCTACAATGTTTTGACCACATAGAGGTGATAAGTAGAACTGTTCTATTGTTCTGCAGAAATTTCCAGTCATAAGGCTATATAAGCCTAAAGGAGAACTGCAGTACTATATTTAGTATAATGCCAATAAAGAAGGAAACACTTTATAATATAGGAGAAAATAAAATAAAGAACAAAGACAGTATTGTTTACCTTATTAGTCAGGTTTTATGGTTTATTATCTGGAACATGAAAGAAAGAACCTGACTTGTAACTATGGGTACCAACTTTGTTTACCTTTTTTTTTTCTCCAGTTTTAATAAACAAGCCCCAGTGGACACGACTGCGAAAAAGGATGTGCTATGCCAATTGTGTAGTTAACACACACAATTGTATTTAGCGTACTAATTATTTGGTATTTCACAAGTCCATATTTTACTCTCTCTACATACAAATGCAGACAAAGCTATCCAGCAAAAGGGGCAGTGAAACCTTAAGGGCTCATTCACTCCAGATGCAAAGAGCTACACTGCCCGGCCAAAATAAAGAAAGGGACCGACTGGATTTTGGGCAGTGTTATGATCTATCGTTGCTTCAGTTGGTCAGGTCTAGGTTCAGCAACATTATGTCCCAAACAATTAGGTCAGCTGCCTTTGTGAATACACTGAATGACCAGGTTTTTCCACCAGTGGATTTTTTATTCCCAGATGGCACATTAGGCATATTCCAAGATGACAATGCCAGGATTCATTGGGCTAAAATTTTGAAAGAGTGGTTCAGGGATCATGAGACATCATTTTCAA